TCAAATGTAGTACCTACTAAGCAGTATGCGATTTCGGACGCAACCTATGGGTGACCGTTAAAAAAGTACGTTCTATATAGTATGAATGCGAGTAGTATGAATGGAATTCGGACGTACTACATCCGCCATGTTGATGTTGTCACGTTCTCGTTCTTGCTGTTTGATTGGGAAAAGTTTAAAGGGCGTCGAGGGGTCTTGTCTTTGTTATCGGACTAAAAACTATTACTTTGAACTTTTATTACAGTATTTATTTAAAAAACGTAGAGTGCCTTAAAATAATTATCACAACACTGATAAAACAGGCTTATACTGATTTTCTCATCCTCCGATTTATACTTATCAATCCTGTTTTTATTATCATTATCATTCAAAAAATTAATAAATTCAGAACAGGATTAGAATATAATTCTATTTTAAATAATTTTTTCTACAACAATAACAGTAGTGTTTACAACAGCAAAACCACCATACCCTGTAAACTCAATTATAATAATAATAGGCCTAATAGTCTATAATTCCGTTTCTAATTCCAGAGTGATTAAGAGGTGCAAAGAAAAAATTCTTTAACTTTTAAACTTAAAATGGTCTTTTCTGTTCCGTTTCTTTTTCAAAACTGCTTCACGGCATTTGCTGCTATCAATACAGAAGCATCAGTTTCGATACATGTCTCAGCAAGGAGCACAGCCCTATTAAAAGCTGTGCTCCATGTGCCCCTTTTATACTTTGAGCACCTGCCCCTCCAAAGGTCTCTGCACGGCCCTGCATCAGAGAATAGATTTAGAGAACATGAATATAAAAAATAATGATAATTTATAATAAATACTGCAATATTCCTTAAAAAATAATTGAATTTTAATTTTATGGTGCCTTTAAAAGAAAAAAACTGAATGACTTGTCTTTGACTTGTCGTCAAACAGTAATTTGGTTTATGACACTATGTGGTGTTTAACCCTGGTTAAGAGCTTTATGGTGTTGTGTTTTTTGTGATGCTGATTGTTTGTTGAATATTTTTTCAGAGTTACACACGCTCAAGACTACATACACTGGAAAAAAAGGACAAACGGCTGCTGTAACTACACTGGATGGACAACAGATTGATTATTATGACAGTGAGATAAAGAAGCTGATTCCCAAACAGGACTGGATGAAAGATTATGCATCTACAAAAACATGGAAAGAATACACTGAGTTCAGAGAACGAGTGCAGCAGACCAACAAAATCAACATTACTGCTCTAATGCAGCGATTCAATCAGTCACGTGGTGAGCTACAATACTTTGTTACATGGCTCTCTGAAATACTTGATTCTGATTGGTCAGTCTTGACATTCTGAGGTCTGTTATTCGCCATAATGATGGTTGTCAATAGAAACGCTGTATAATGACGCTTCTTTAATGTCTCTCAGATCGTGATGCGGATATAATCACTCTCATTTCATTCAAACGCAGCCTCAGTTGCTGACCATATTTACTGTAAAATGAAACCAGAGCACTATGGTAATACTGGTGAAGTGTTCGTCTTGTTGCTAGAACTATTGTTTTGTACTCTGTCATGGATTATAAAAGTGAAAGTGAAAGTGACGTGACATGTGGCCAAGTATGGTGACCCATACTTGGAATTAGTGCTCTGCATTTTATTGAAGGTGTACATTCACTCCCCCCACCTACAATCCCTGCCGGTACGACACTCGAACCCGCAACCTTTGGGTTATGAGTCCGACTCTCTAACCATTAGGCCATGACTTCCCCCATTATATTTATTATAAATATAACTTAAATCTTACCTGTTTAGACTTAAATCTTACCCGTTTAGAATAACCTGATTCTAAACAGGTAAGATGTTAAAATGGTTTTCATGTGCTTGTTATTTATGTGGTGAAAAGCTGTATAATAAGTGACATCATCCCTTAATTGTGCATCTTATTCAAAGCTGCTTGCTAGTAACTGCTTTTCTTCATGGAAGCTTTTCGTTTAATGAGCTAATAAAATAAAATGTAACTCATATCAATATTTCATGTCTTCTTATTTACTTATGCAGCATGTAGCCATGTGATAAGCAGGATAGTGTTCATCCAGCCAGTTGTCACAAAACAAACCTTGACAGGGTGATCAGGAGGAGTCTTAGGTCACCCTGAAGGGCTTTATTTGTACATTATCCCTTACTTATACTACATTTATAAACAAAGGATTATATTGCACATTAAAAAAAATTAAGAATAGTATTATCTCTCGCTCTTTCAGGTGTTCATGTGTATCAGAGGATGTATGGATGTGAGTGGGATGATGAGACTAGAGACACACGTGGGTTTGATGAGTACAGTTATGATGGACAGCGTTTGATCTCACTGGACCTGAAGGAGCTCAGATACACTGCATCTGTACCACAGGCAATACCCACAGTGCAGAAGTGGAACAATGACAGAAAACAGCTTGATTCTCAGTGTGCTTACTGGCTGAGAAAGCTCTTAAATTTCTCTAAAGCTACTTTTAAGAAAACAGGTATAGTACCAAAGTTAGCAGGACAGAGTTTGACAGAGCCAACCCAGAAGACTGAGAATGACACTAAGAGTGATGGTAAGTTGAAACCTGGTTCATTATTCTCCATGTACTGTACATTTGACTTATTTTAGGGGCCAAACACATCAGAATGCCTTTACGTTTTTTTCTGTTAGTGTATTTAGGTTTATTTGTTTTGTTGTTGTTTAGGTTTTTCTGCCATATAATTCATTGCGTATTGTGTATATGTTTCTCTGTGTGTTCTAGGATCTGCATCATATGCTTCATATATCATGTATGCAGTTATTATTACAATCCTAGTTATATTAATATTGATTATGCTGTATGCACTTTGGCGCAACAGGAATCACCTCAAACTGTGTAAGTACTAATGAGCTGTTGTGAGATATAATTCCCATCATAAGTGCAAATGTTTTTACATGTGTTTCTGTGTGTGGCGGTACAATGAAATAGAATGCAGTGAATGTGAACCTGTTGCTGTTTCATCAGTTCCATCAAGTTTTTTTTTTTTTTCTAAAATGATTAAACTATAAGAATTCTGTTGGTGGTGTGTGTGAAATGATAGGTGAGCCCCTTGATTATGTTCTTTAAATTTCATTACAGCATGTTATACTTCTGTTTATCTCTCTTCACAGACTACAATAAGATCATATATTACAAAGATGTTCACAGTGATGCACAAAATCCCGTTCCAGAACCTTCAGATTTATAGTTCCTCACCAGTGGAAGGATCTTCACAGCGCTACCCAACAACTGAGACATTTGAAAATGTCCAAGTATTATCTTAAGACTTATAAAGACTCTTTTCAATGAACATTCAGCAATACTGTACATACTTAAAATATTCCTCTTTATAATTTTACCCTTTTATTCCATCTCTAATCTTGAGATTATAGCATTTCTTTTAGAATGAATCACTTTAGCCGCTTTTCCACCGTCGGGCCAAACCGTTGTGTTCACTCAACCGTTCCGTTCTGTGCTGATCTGGTCCAGCCCGTATGGACATGGTTTCATTTTCCACTGTGGGTTTGATAAAGGAGCTCTTCACAAAAATACAATACGTTAGTCGTTGTCTTGGTAATGCAAGAGTTTACAGACGTTTTGAGATGTAAATAGCGGCCGCGGAGGAGTTTTCTTGAGTTTACTTTGCTCAAATAGCGCGCTTGGCCAGGTGGCCTATCCCGAGACGCGACGTCACTAAACACTTTCTTGTCAGCAGGGTTTCTGGGCCAGTTTGTAATTGTGCCGTGCCAAGCCAAGCTCAAGAGGAAATATAA